ACTTAATGAAAATCACAAATCCAAACCCAAATACACTACCAGTTCAAATATAGATCCGGTTATATCTCGGGTGGATTACAAAGTTCTTGGTGCTTGGATGGGTTTAATAAACAAATGAGCCGTGAGAGAGAGAATGAGATGAGTTTAATTAATTGTGGAGGAGGTGTTGTAATTAATTGTGGAGAATGGAATTCAAATAAAATGTATTAGATTAATTCAAAAATTTGTGAGTTTGGGAGAATGAAATTCTAATAATAACAGTATGGAGCCCAATCTAAATGACCCATAAACAATCTAAAATAACTCTAAAAATGTACATAACCTTGAAGCCCCTTAAGGTTATGAAGGAGATGGACAAAAAGTTCAACACAACATTCTAGTGACAGCAAGTTGCACAACTATAAACCAAATAACAAAAATTTCAAGTTAATATTTCTATTGACCGTTAACGAATCACGACAAATAGGCAATTTCATTAATACAAATAACACAATGAGACTTTAAAAACTAATTTTGACAGTAAATTCCAGTATTCACACTACCTTTGTTTCAGTCTGGTTAGAAATTTTCCCATTTATTTGGCTCTTTATTGTCTCAAGTTGTGTACAACATAACAAAAACAAAAATTCTAAAAATTACAATACCCACTACAAATTTTTAAAAGTTCAAAAGCTCACTATTACTATAAACTGAACTAACTATAACTATAACTATAAACTGAACTAACTACACAAAAATCACCTAACTGAACATCTATAAATCTAGAAACAATGAATCAAATGTAAAAGTTAAAAAACGAACTCATCAATAATGAAAATTTAGTGTTTGATTTTTCTTTGGATTTGAATATAGAAATTAGACTTTTCTCAAGTGTACAAAGGTTTTAGAGTTCCAAATAGGAGACATGTTGCACATGATAACACATCTGTCAGCAAATGATCCTTCTAACTGAATATTTTTATCAGGCATTTCATATGCAACCAGTTGTGGCTAATACAAACCACATGGAAGGCCAACTGAAAAAAAATAAAAAAGAAATTAAAAAAGTTAAAAAAAAACACATAAGAAGAAATTATTTGAAAACCAACAATGAACAATAAGAGTTGTGCTGCCAAATAAACCTTGGAGTTGGAACACATACTTGAGTCCCGGCGGCATAAGTCTGTCTGATAAACCATCATCAGGAAAAGTGTTTTGCGCCTAGGCTCAGTTTCTCCCTGTATTCCAATCAATCAATTTCCCATCAATGCTGTAATTTTGATTTGGAACAGAATTCTTCATTCAGTTATCTAAAAAATAAAAAAGAGCTAGGAAACAAAAGACAGAAAAGGGAGGGAAAAAGGAAAAACAAAGAATAATCAGTGTCTGACCATTGTTAAGAATTGATTGGTAGGTATACTTAGATTGATCTCAACCATTGATACATTTTGATACATTTTTCAAAAACCCTCCTGCCTACTTAAGAAATTCCCCATTTCTCCCATTTGTTCATGCATTCTTCACATCCAAAATTATGTCTCAGATCATCGCATATCCAAAATAAATAAATAAAAAAACAATTATATTTGAAAACACATTTAAACAATACACACATGATTGCTCCCCAATATTATTCAGCATCAAACCAACAAACCTCATTTACATATAACTATACGGTTCACGAAAAAAGTAGTAGTTAAAGATTGTTACATAGTTATGTGAAGAGCTAATTCATCAAACACATCTCCGAACAAACCTATATGACAAAAAGGTATATTTTTTGACACACACATACACACACACACACACACACATACTTATTTATGTAAATCAACAAAAATCACCTGAGAGAGAGAGAGAGAGATGGAGAGAGAGAGAGAGCACGATGTAGGTCCCCAAAGGCTCAAATGTCAAAGAAATGAAGCCCCTTTCCACAATTACCAGAAAATGATCAAAGACTCTGTTCTTGTTAGGGTTTGCAGGAATAGTCCTCTGATAGAACAAACCAAAAGAAAGAAACACAATTACAAATAATTATCAAAACCGCTAAAAAAGTAAAAGAGTAAATAGAACGAACATTAAAGTATAACATAGGTTTAGTAGGTTTAGTGGTAAGGGCATTTTGTCAATTTCACCATTTGCTGGACATGAACTTAAAATTTTCATATTTTGTAATTTTCCTGTATCTATTCTTTGTATCTGATGTTAGTCTCTGTAGAATAAACTTCCCCTGTTTGAAACCTTGGTTTGAAACCTCGAAAGTGCAGTATTATGGCAAACGTGTAACAATCATGATTAGTTTGAACTCTTATCAAATTTCAGTTTTTTAAGTTAATAATGACAGTGATAGCATATCAAAAAACAAATAAATAAAAACATAAAAGAAAAGTTACTAATTTTAGAGATAATGCGTGCCAATGAGCAGGATAATGAAACACAGTATATTGTCACTGGAAAGAGCAAAGAAGGCATATGAGAAGAAGCAGAGGAAGCAAAAGCAACTTCGGATGGGGACTCCTATAAAATCTCCACCACCACGGCCACCCAGCAGACCCGAGAGTTCCAAAAAACAACAGCTGGTGTCAAAGAATGGCGAAGTAAAAGCCAAGAAAAGAATCGTGGATAGTGATGACGACAACGATTTTATACTGAACCCCAAGAGGAGAAAAGTGTAAAAAGGAAATGCCCTTTTTTTGCCCTTTTTGGTGGTGTATTTTTAGAGATTTGCTTTTAATTGAACCCTTCAAATTTAACTGCGATGAAGCAAGTGACAAAAATCCATCAAACTGATGATATATTAAGACATTCTTTACATTGTCTGATGTTCAGAAATAATAAAAGGAAAAAAAAATCATAATTCTTGTTTATTTCTCGTTCATCTATCTATATCTGAGTTGATGATGTGCTAAATATATTCTTGCGGGACTTAAGTAGCATATATAACCATGACAGAATACCCTAGAGTAGAGCAAGAATTACATTATACATAAATATAACTCTCTTATATAGTAAGAGGAAGTTAGATACGAGAGTTTGATATATATATATATATCCTTTTCGCATCTAGTAGCAGTACTAAAACACACACCATACTCATTTCAATAAGTCAATCTAGGTTAATAAAGTAGTTAATGAACTTACTTCATCACCTATGCAATTATCCATTAGTTAGTAACTACATGGGTAGCCATATTAGGTTGGGTTTTGAGTTGAGAGTTATCAAATGGTTCAGATTAGCCCCTAGACGTGGACTGTAGTAAATCCTGGATAATAAGACTGAAGTTTATTTGACAGGAGATGACAAAAAAAAAATTGACAGGAAGTAGAAGCATTAGATTACCCAGGAATCTAGTTGCGCGGTACTCGTGAATTACCCAATTAGTCCTCTGGCCATTCGGAGCACGACCCGCATAGAAAACCAAATTCTTCTTCATGCCAATAACAGTGGTTTCCCTCAGAGACCTGATAGAACTATCCTTACCCGTGGCCTTCCAGTACCCAACCACAGTCGCTCTGTTCAATCGATGCCCATTCTGATACTTGCGATCTTTAGGACAGAAAAAGAACCACTCTTCATCATTCGTCTTTATTGCCGATTTATCTGCATAAAAATAGATCAAATCAAACCCAAAATTAGGGCTTTTAATCAAGTATATATCAATAATGAAAGCAAAAAACCCAAAATTTTAATTTTTTAATTTTTTATGTGGGTAGTTTTACCAAGCAAATCCCAGGGTTCGCATTTGCAGACATCAATCTCTCGAATAACACTGACTTGCTTCTCATTGCCATTGATCTTCAACTTCAGATAGTGATTGATGAGTACTTCGTCGGTAGGACGAAATCGGTACCCAACCGGAAGAGACTCCTCCGAGGGTTCGCATTTTCAGACATCGATCTTTCGAATAACACTGACTTGCTTCTCATCGCCGCTGATCTTCAACATCAAATAGTGATTGATGAGTTTTTCGTTGGTAGGGCGAAGTCGGTACCCAACCGGAAGAGACTCATCTGCCAAAATTTTAGAGGGAGACATCGCTAGAGAGAGAGAGAGAAAAAGGAAAGGGAAAGTGGGTATGGATCGAAATAAAGAATTAAAAACCTATAGAGGTAGCATAGGGAATGGATAAACAAATCAAAAGAGGAAATGTATGAGATTCAAAGAAAATTCAGTGGGGTTTCAAAGACGTGGGGTTTGAATTGAAGAAGGAAACAACGGAGAAAGTGAGAGAGATAGATATAGAGATTGACAGAATAGAGATTGACAGAAACCATCACAGATTCCTGGGCAGGAGATCTATTGATCTCAACCATTGACATAAATTTAGGATTAATCTCAGCCATTAAAATGTCTCTCTCATACATTTATATATTTCCAAAAACCCTCTTCTCTTATTATATAGATATATAGCTGAGCTAGCAGGATGTCAAAATTAAGGCAGCCTTGGTGTCTATCCCTGTGAAGTCGTTTTTGAAGTGCCTCCGTAACGGGGCGTGTAGCACTTTGAGTTTTTTCTTCATTGCTCGAGTGATAGATTGGTTACTCAAGCGATCTTTTGAGTCTTCTAGTACTTTTGCAGGTCTGTGATTCGAAGAGTTATTGATCTTCACTTGAGCGCAGGTGTGGTCCCTCGAGCAGTCTGCCTTGTGTGGCCTAAACTACTGGGAGGGTCCATTCTTCACTTGAACGGTTATTCCTAAGCTCGAGCGGTCACACCTTGTTGTATTTGGATGCTCGAGTGACACTTCTTGCACTCGAGCGATCTGTTTGAATTCAGCAACTATAAAATTCTCTTTTAGTCACATTTAGATCACTTTCTCTCTCTTCTCTCTCTTCTCTCTCCTTTCTCCATTGTTGAGCTTTCAAGCTCTTTCTACCTGGTTTTTATTTACTTTTATACATTTTTGACTCCTAGTTCCATATAGCAAAACATAGTGCTCGATGGGGGCTACCATTTGGTCTTCGCGGATTATGTTTTCGTTGAAGTTAGATTTTCGGGCTTTCTTCTCTTCATTGCTTGAGGTATGGATTCGTTTGCTCCTTTTCAATACTTTGTCTATAGATAGACATGTGGTAAATATTATTGCATAAAAATCACATCTATTATGGATCTTTTGAAAATCATGTAAAGGGGATCTAGGGTTTGAAACGTTTGGGTTTGAAATTGTAAAATTGATGGTTGTTTGGGTTAATTGGGGAGTAGTTTAATTTGTTTATGTTGAGAGGAAGAGAAAGCCCTAATTTAATGATTTGACGTCATGAATTAAAAAGGGGAAAAGTTGAAAAATGTTTATATTTTGTTAATTCGAGTTGTGCTATTTTGTTAATAGCAAAAAGGGAGAATAAATGTTGATATTTGAATTTAGTTGGAATAATCATGTTAAGTTGAGTTGGGCTATGGTCTAATTTTCATGGATGTGGTTTTATTGTGATGTGGAAAATTGGTTTTGGAAAGAAAAGGATTTGGGCATGCCAACTTGGAAATTAAAAGGATTGATTTTGAAAAGAGATAGGAATCATGGCGTATCATAAATTTAGAAATGAACGTGAGGTTGGATTTGGAAACTTCTGAATATTGTTATTATCATTGTTGTTGGACTTAAGGTCAAGTGAGCATTGGGTTATCATATTACATGTGTTCAAATATTTATGCATAGCGGTTTTTTCCTTGGTCATCGGTGGAGGATGACATTGCGATGTTGAATAGATTATGTGTATGTAGCACGCTCGGACTATTTGTGTTTGTTGAATTATAAGATTGGTTGGAAATGTTTATGCACTAAACATTTCCAGCTAACATTTCCAATAGGGAGTACCATTACCTTCCAGCTAGCACCTGGAGAATTGGTTGCATTGAGAATTTGGGGTACTGGTACCTTCCAGCTAGCACCTGGAGAACTTGGCAGAGGTACCATTACCTTCCAGCGGGTGTTTGGTAAATTGGCAGAGGTACCATTACCTTCCAACTGGTGACTGGTAAATTGGCATGAGTATTGCCCTGGTTTACCTTGCTTGAGGCAAGTAGAGCATTGTTGGGTTTCTCATTACCATCGCGGTTCTATTCATGTGTGTCATGCATATTGGTAATAATTTGTGGAGGATGTAGTTGTCTTATATGGTTATGTAAGGAGCATTTTATGTGTATTGTCATCGTACTCGTTTAAGATGTTGGTAATTGGATATTGGTAATTGGAAGTTGTAATTTGGAATTGGGTGTAATTTTGATAATTGGGGGAAGAGTAAATGGAATTTTGTGGGTTGTTTTCAAATATCTATTATTGTTTGCGAAGTTAAAACAAAAGGGTAACAAGAAGAAAGAAAGAAAAAAAAATGGTTTTGGTTGTTGGATAAATTGAATGATTTGAGAAAGTACCTATGTAAGTATATCTTCATGTATCAACTTGCACTTATGTATATGGTATGACTTAAAACATTTATGATCATAGCTATCTGTATGTTGTTATTATTTAGGATCATGTTGGGATCCCTACTGGACTTATGTTCATCCCGCGTTGCTAATCCCTTTTTAGATGTATATTGAGAGGTGGTTCAAGATCGAGGATTTTCATTATCTGTTGGCCACAGGACCTTTTATTTGTTGGCTAAATGCCATTGTTGTAAACAGGGTTGAACCCATTCTCTTTTATGTAATGATGTAAGCTTGCAGACAATTTACTATAATTATGTCTCATGTTGCATTATTCAATATACAATTGAGAGAATCTTCATTTATTTATTGGACTTCTGTCTGTTATCTCTGAAATTGTTTATAATAATGATTTGGTAATGTTATCTAAGTAATTAAAAAGTGGGGTGTGACAGGGCGTTCTTAGACTCAAGAATCAAGCTTTTGTTAACCCACTTTTGTTTTGTTTTGTTTCTTTGGACATTTTGGAACTTGTTATGAATGATGATATATGAAATGTCCAACTTTGGTGTACTGTATATAAGTTTGAATAAAGTTTAGAGTTTTAAATATTTATGATTTTGACATGTATGCACTGCTCAATGGAATCAGTAATATTTCTTTTTTGCTTCTGCAAATCCCCGTTATTATATTATCATTGTTTTGTCATTGAGGCCAAAGGTAATTCAGGATTTCTGGCTGGTCATGACCTAAGCCTATAGGGGTGGGTTCGGGTCATGATAGAGTGGTATCAGAGTAGAAGTTATATCTCACTTACTTTTCCATTGAGCAATAAGGTGTCTATAAAAGACTTAAGGATTGCATTCATATGCATTTGAATGTCAGAACAAAATGACTTTTGTAATTGTGTATATGTATATGTGTGCATTCATGTATTATAATACAAGTTTTATATAGATAATGGTGAGAATAAGAAGGGATGAATTGGAGGGGTCAACCTCCTCAAGACTTCACAGAATGAAGAGAATGATATCTGACATGGTTGAAAGCTTAAGACAACAACAACAATAGCCACCACCACCTCCAATGCCCATACCACCACCAGTACAGGACCATCAAATAGATGATCGAACCATTGCCCTCACTAAAGAATTCAAAAATATGAAGCCACCCTTGTTTCATGGGGGAGTTGATCCATTAAAGGCTGAGGCCTAGGTGTTGGGGATCGAAAAGTTGTTCGAGGTTTTTCTATGCATAGAGGCACTGAAGGTTGTATTAGATGCATTCACTTTAGAAAATGAAGCGAGGACATGGTCGATGTTAGTTCATGATGATAACAAGGGAATTGATTAGGCTAGATTTCTAGAGATTTTCTATGAGAAGTACTTCCCACAGTGTGTCCGAGATAGAAAAGTATCTGAGTTTGACCAACTAAAGAAGGGAAACAAACAGTGGCTGAATATGAAGCCCAATTTATAGAGTTGGCACGTTTTGCGCCACATATGGTTGATGGAGATTATAAGAAGGCTAGAAAGTTTGAGGGAGGTCATTGTGATTCAATCTTGGAGAGAATTAATGTGCTTAAATTTCCAAAGTACGTTGATGTACTGGACAGAGCGCTAATGTCAAAAGCAAATATGGCTGCTCACAATTGAAATTTTGAATGGAGAGGTAAAAAACAAAATTTCAATAAGGGAACAACGTCTTCAATGAGAAAGAGATCAAAATCCAATGATTCAAGTTCAAATCAAAGTGGCAACTCAGTACCCACTTATACTATATGCAGAAAGAAGCATTGAGGTGTTGGTTATCGTACTCCAGGAGCTTACTATCAGTGTGGAAAAGTTGGTCATGTGGCAAGAGATTGTATACAACCTCGACGAGATGGCAACCGAGGCACTACAAGTTTGAAGGGGTCAGTCCTGACAGTGAGATCAAATGCAACACCTGCTACAACAAGAAATGATGTAAGGCAAGGATGAGTCTTCACACTTATTCTACGGGATACTCAGAACATAGAGGTTGTGGTTTCAGGTACACTTTTTGTTTGTGGCTAAGCTACATATGTATTGATTGATTCGGGTTCTACACACACTTTTGTTTCTATGGTATTTGTTGGTGAATTGAATAGACCTAAAGAATCCTTAAGATACATATTATGTGTTGCGTCACTAGCGGGAGGATCTATGTTATGTTCATTTGTTTATTCTGTATGTGAATTATTACATTGAAATGCCACCTTATATGCCTATTTGTTACCCCTTGATATGAGACATTTTGATGATATTTTGGATATGGACTGGCTATCTAAGTATCATACAACTATTGATTGTGCATCTAAACGAGTGATATTTCGACCTCCGGGTCAGGATGAATTTTATTTTGAGGGTAAGGATGTAGTTCCTCCAACTTATCTAATATCTACAATGAAAGCCCATAAACTGATTAGTAAAGGTTGTCAAGGGTACTTGTGTAATGTAATAAATGATCAAACCATGGACATAACCTTGGATAGTATTCTAGTAGTAAGAGATTTTCCCGATATATTTTTGGAGGAGTTATTAGGATAACTGATTGATAGGGAAATTGCATTTGTAATTGATGTGACAGCGGATATTTAACCCTTATCTAAAACTCCATATCATATGTCTACTACTGAAATGAAAGA